ACTGGAGCCCAAACAATACAAATCTCTGGAGATGGATCCAGGACTTGTTTTACAACCTCTGCTCAGGATACTAAGGAGCAGACAGGGCTAAGAACTGCTGGTCCTGGCCCTTCTCAATGATCAATGCCCACATGAATCGCTGTGGATCTTATTAAAATGCAGATTCTATGCATTCTGACATAATAACCATTTTCCTACCACTTCCTTCCATTATAAGAATGAAAACTAGTAGCAAAAAGATTATCTGTCAACTAGCCGTCTATTGATGCTCCGAATTACGTGTACTCTGAAAAAACAGCTTAAAGAGGTTTCCTTGGAATCAAAGACCTCTATCACTGTGCCATTTCTTCTTCTTTCCAGTCCTCCCACCTATAGGCAACTAGCCTCTGTACAATTCGGATTTGGTCTGACCTTGGAAAAATTACAGTAATTTGCTCATTCTGTTTAAACAAAAAGAAAGGCATTCCAAATTCCCCTGGGCCCAACTCCTCCAAGCCCACCCCACTAACTGCATTGTTTCCCCTGAATATACAAATTCCCCATGGGGTTTGCCTCCTGTCCAACGATGACACCCTCAAGACGCACGTTTCTGTGTGCAGAGACTGGGGCCTGAAATGAACAGTCTTTCCTCCGTGGCTCTGCCAAGGGCCACTGCTCTCCCGGCAGCCCCGTGACAAATGGCCTTTAAAAAGCCTGACATTTTCTGTAATTAACTCTCCTTTGTTCAAGGAGCCAAGACAACTCCCAAGTTGCCTCTTGCAGCTAATGGTGGCAAACCTGAGCGTGCCCCAGACCCCCTGTGGTCACGGTGTGCAGCCCCGAATGGGGCCCCTGGGCCCCCAGGAGTCAGCATACCCATCTTCAGAGCTTTCTTATTTCCAGTCATTAAATGAGAGTTTCACTTCAAGATGTCAGGTTCTGAAACCAAGCCAGAGGGCTCGACTCAGAAAACCCACAAGTCAGAACTGGCAGTTAAGGTGATTTCTCCTCTTATGTGGAAAGCAGGGCGAGGGAAGCAAGAACATAGCTGAACCTACCAGAAATCCCAGTCTTTTTTTTCTTTCTCTCTCTCTCTCTCTCTAAACTAAAAGACAGCACACATTTTACATGTTTGTAATGACTAACAATGGGTTTGGTTCTATTACCATCTTTTGGTGCAAATTCTCCCTCCCCTGCATTTGCAAAAAGATGCTTGTAAATCCATCTTGGTCAGCTGCCAATAATATTCCTGCCAGTGGCTTTTCCTTCTGTTTGAGCTGCCATCCAAAAGCACAAAATCTTTCTGGGTTTGTGCTGAAGCGTTTGACTCCCACCTGCCTTGTTCTACTTTTTCTAGCACACTCGCTTATTAAAGGTTCTGAAAAAGTCCTGTGGTAAATAAGCCCCTTTAATTCCGTTTGCAATAGATTTTTTTCCCAAATGTCATTCATTTATTCAACAGTATTGACAGAGTGCCCACACTGAGCCAGGAGCTGTTCTAGGCTTCAGAGATATAGCAACCTCCACTTCCTGCTCTCATGGTGCTTCTAGAGGCAGACAGGCCATAAACAAATAGAGCTATTAATATATATGATCACATCAAGTGCTAAGTGCCACGGTTAAGAACAGAAAAGGGTAAGGGGAATGCTGAGAAGAGGTGGAACAGAGTAAGGGAATTCATGCAGCACCTGAGCCAACAGCTTGGTCAGTGTCCCCAAAGCAGCAAGGTGACAGTGTCCCTCGTGCTGAGCAAGCTAGGGGGCTAGGAAGTGGCCCAGATAAAGCATCGTGTCAAGGGTCCTCTACTGAGCTGCCAACTCCTGAGTCTCCACCCTCATCATATACATACTCCAGGGAAAGGATCATGAGTCTGGTGTTCAGTTCTTAAAACATTCATTGAAAACATAGCCAGGCACTAAGGGAAACTTCAACAAAAAAGTCTGGTAATGCACAAGGAACTGGTAGCCTTTAGGGGATTGATAGGAAAGGAGATTAGGTAGCTGAGAGCTGGAGCAAATGGGGACATTCTACAATCAACCCTCCTGTATCTTTGGATTTTGAGCAAAAATGTTATCACCCAATCAATAAAATCACTAAAAATCACAAGGTAGGAAGATAAAATGTTGCATATAAATTTATACTACATATAAAGTGCCATGACAGTCGCTGCGACTTCTAAGTTCATAGGGCTTTTTTTTTTTTTTTTTTTTTCAATCTAAGTTCAGAAATTTCCTTTGTCTACTGGGCCATAATCATTACAATTTGCAGTCTTAGAATTATCAGCCTTAGTTACCAGGATGAAAACACATCCCTTACTCTGTCCAGCTGAAGAATGTACCTAAGGTTAAGACGGATTCTCATGAGTAACAATAAGGAAGGGCAAACACCTGCCTGGGGCTACCTACATGTCAGGCACTGCTCACAGCCAGTACCAAACTCACCTAATCCCTAGCTGGAGAGGGTGCTTCTATTACCACATTTCAGGAAACATTTGTAAGTAGAAGTGTTAAACTCCTATTTAAGAGTTTTAAATTTCCCCAAATCTCCATAAAGCAGGAAAAGAGGCAGTAAGAAAACTAAATGACAGGAATCTCAAATAACTAGTGAGATCACATTCTCCTTCACGCACCTTCTGAAGCCTGGGGTCCACATTTCCTTGAAGTATTTGCTTTGCTTGAGGTTCTTGGCCCCTCCTGCCACTGTATAGGATAATTAAAAAAAACAATAAGCATCATTAAAAATTATAAGATCATCTTACTTAATACAACTTGGTTTCTATTTGAGAAAGAGTTAACCACTTTGATTATTCAAGTACAGGTTTCTTACAGAGGTGGGCTGTATTTGGAATTTTTGATGAATGAATATTCTAAATGTACCAAAAGAGGTATTTGTTTAAAAAACTCCTGTAACTTCCTACAGAAAATGAAATCACTTTTGTCACAAAAAATAATTAAATCCTATTAAATCTATTTTATGTTGGACATTGGGTAAAGAATTCCTGTAGAGGATGATGGGATGATGAAATCTTCCAATGCAAGATGTTCTCTGGGTTTTGTATTTCTTTAGGCTTTAACACCCTGGCAAATTCTAGCCAAATGACACATCATGAATGAGTAACTGGAAACAAGCCAAATGCGTGGAATTAGAGAGATTACAGATTTAATAGAGCTGGCTGGCAAAATAAACATACAACTCATTTAACACATAATATAGCCCAAACTGCCTGGGATGCAGGTAGTACAGTCTAGCTGTGTTTCCTTTTACTCTTTTAAGAGTTCAATGTTAAAATTAAAAGCAATTTCATGTTATGCAGATGGAAAGCTGAAGTTTTATGTACTCACATCCAGATTCTTCCAGACCTGTATCAGAAGAAAAAAAGACTCTTCATTCCTGCAATCTCAAAGGTCCTGAATTCACCTCTCTCCCATTTCTATTTCTGGCTTTCTCCCACCTTTTTATTGTATAACCTCAAGCATTTGAAAAATGATCTGAATATAGCTGCAAATTGCCTGGGATATTTCCTGATTCTTTTCTTTCCTTGTTCACTTTTGTAAGCACTCTGGTTTTCACTCTGGGGAAGGAAAGAATTTTCCTGTCAGGTATTTCTTTGAGATTCTCTTCTTCAGGGTCAAGAGCAAAGATGGAAAGGTTTTTCTTTCCATCTTGAAATTCCAATTTTGAGCCAAGATGGGCTCATAATTATAATGAGGGGAGTGGGAAGGTTAGTTTCTCTTTGTGTCTTTTCTTTTTAACCCAGTCACTGAAAATTTCAGAGTGAATAAGTAGGTACTGGAGATCAGCAAGCCCAAGCTAAATTCAGTTGTCTAATTTTAAGAATGTCTGAGACATTTCTCACTCTGGCAGTTAAAACTGACCAATACCCAACTCTGTATGGCCCAAAGCCCCAGACTCTGGGTGTTTCAGACAAAAAAACCCTTTATGACAGTCCTCCTGCTTAGCTAACCAGACAGAACCTGGCTAGTGGCACTGCCTTCTATTCATTCACTGACCAGTCCTTTCCTGCCTTTAGAGACTTGGAAAACAAAAACGACAGCTTTTGGAAAACCTGGTTCATCTTCCTAGCCAGTGGTGCAGAAATTTATACCTCAACCTCCAACTTCTGACTAGTCCTTCGACCGTCAAAATCAGGGCTGAGAGCACTCTGGCAAGAAAGATGCATTTCCAGCCATCCTTTCCCTTCTCACCCACCAAAGACGTGCTTAATAGTGCACTTAGGAAAGGGTACACATGTTACCTTACCTTCTTCCCTGCTCACTCGCTCGCTCTCTCTCTGCATGCTCCTTGCACCCAAGTGGAACATTTTCTTTCTCTTTCCACCCAATCATAAATGCAAATTATCAGCCAAAGATGAAAGAAGTAAATTATAGATCACCAAGTATCAATCATTCCACCGGTCACACCATCCCGCAGCAAGGACGCCGCCTTATTGCATAATTAACGTGATGAAGGTTCCTCTCATTAATCCCACGAACTAGAGAGGTCAAGTCACCAAAACCACACTGGGATGGTGCTCACAAAGAAAGGCCGGCTCACCCCGTTTTCCTGTCCCCCCGGGATGGGGTGGGGGTCGGGGCCCGGGGTCTACGAAACCCACACCCCGCCGGTCCCCGAGCTCACCCTCCGCGGAGCAGGAGCTCGCCGGGGTCCTCGGGCCCTTCCGCGGCGCTGGCGGCGAAGCTCTGCCCGGGCCTCGCGGGCCTGGGGGCGAAACGCGCGGGGTCCCGGCGTCCCGGGAGCGCGGGAGGCCCGCCCCGCCCGGAGGCCCTCGGCGCCGCCACCGGCGGCCTCCGCGCCGCCGCCCGCCCGGCCCGGGATGAGGCGGCGGCGCGCCGGAAGAAGGAAGCCGGGCGCGCGAGGCCCTCTCGGGGGGGCGAGTTCGCCGCCGCCCCACGCGGCGCCCGCCCGCGCGCGCCGCCTAACCCGCTGTGCGCGCCCCCACGGCCGTCCCCGGCCGCGCGCGCGCCGCCCGGGGCCGCGCGGGGAGGCGCGGCAGAGGGAGCCCCAGGACCCTGTCTGCCCCTGCGTGTCTCTGCTGCTGCCAGATTCTGCGCCCAGCCCTTGCGCCTCCCGTCCTCTCCCGGAAAGAAATCCATCCCGGGAAATTACAGAGAAACGTGCGGCCGACATCCAGAAAACAGGTATAGTGTTTGAGAACGAAAAAAATCCCAAACTTGGAAAAACGAAGAAAGAAAAGGCCAAACTTGGAGAAAGGCAAAACTGCCTGAGTTTGGGTTACTTCCCAGCATTTTCTGATCAGCCTACTTTGTAAAAGCTTGACCTTTTGTTCTTTGCGGACCTCCCTCGGCTGATAGTCTGGGGGACGTAACTTCGTTGTCTAGGTGTAGTTGAATACACAACTGATAAAGGCCACAACTGTGTACAGCCCTAGAGTACTGAGTCTTCTTTTTTTAATGTTTATTTTCGAGACAGAGACAGAGCATGAGGGGGGGAGGGACAGAGAGACAGGGAGACACAGAATCTGAAGCAGGCTCCAGGTTCTGAGCTGTCAGCACAGAGCCCGACGCAGGACTTGAACTCAGAACAGTGAAATCATGACCTGAGCCGAAGCCGGATGCTTAACCGACGGAGCCACCCAGGTGCCCAGCACCATGTGTTTTTAACCTGCACAAATGGATAGGACTTTCGGGTTTCGAGCCTGGTATTGAAGTCAACCCCAAAGCTGTTGGGGGTTTTATTGCCCTGGAAAAGATAAACTAGTTTTGTTTTGATCTAACTTACATGTTTTTTAACTACCTAACAACTATACGTGTGGGCACACACAAGTACACATAAAACTTTTCCAACTTGTTCATAAGTCAGCTTCTTTTGGCCTATCTTGTTGGTGCCCTTCCTAACAGAAAAATAGATTATGGATGGAGCTCACCATTTCAGTGTAGCAGGATTCTCGCACAGAGAGTCAGTCGTTATATCCAGGTGTTGTTTTTTTTTCCAGGAAGTAACTTTATTCCTGCTTTCACCACTCAGTTGGGTTCGTACCCAAAGAACTGAGCCCCCAACGTCCATGTGGCATAGTTTTTTAATACACTATTTCGTTGGTAACACACACAAATGTAGTCTGATTAAGTAGTCTCAGTTTACAGGGTCATGAGGGGTATTGTCACTTAAGCTTATAGCCAGGTTACCTTGAAGGGTTTTTTTTCTCCTTAGGGAGGGGACCCTACCACATCAGAATTTCACTTTTTTACATGATAACCAACCATCATGGCTTAAAGATGGCAGGGTGGTTTACTTGGTCTTTTGGTCACTCATCCCAATATTTATTAAGCCACTTCTTTAGGCACTGTGGGTGACATGAGACATTTGCTTTCTCCTTGAAGATTTAAATGGACATACATATGTGGCAGATGCACAATAAGTAAATTTGGAGTTTAGATGAGACATAGAACATAATCCAGGGTTTAGGGGTCCAACCATGCTCTGGGAATTAGGCCTTGTGTATTCCAATCTTTACTGTACCACATACAGCTTGTGACCTTGTCATGTTCTTTTATCCTTCCGTGCCCCATATTCCTCACCTATAAAATGAAGATACGGTACTGTAGAATATTGGAGATTAAAATACATAGCACAGTTCTCTCCCAGTAATAAATATTACAGTAAACATAAGCTACTTTCATTATTATTTATTTATTGCATTCCCAATGTGCTGTTCAAATATTAAAAGATACAATTCTTTCTAGGGGCTTACACATTGGTAACTAAAATGACTATTTTTCTTAGGATATTTGCAAGTAATTCTATTTCTTCTTTCGTTTCTATAAATGAACTTCAGGGAAGTATTATTTAGTCTTTATAACAGGAGGATAATTTCTAACGTAGTGGTTCTCGAAGTGTGATCCTTGGACCCCTGGGTCTGTAATGTTCTCCCAATAATGCTAGGACATTAGTTATCTTCACTACTTCGACATTTTTTCTGATTGTACAAAAGTAATGGCATGAACCTTGGCAGTGTTATAAAATGGGATTGGTGGTTGTCTGGAGGTGAAGCTCTTCATGGTGGTTTGTGATATTTCTTTTCATGGAATACCATTTTTACTTGAGAGAACTGACAGACAAACTGTGGTTACACAGACTTGGGTATTTGGCAGACATTTTCTCCAAAATGAATGAAATGAGCCTGTCACTTGAAGAAAACAACTGATGGTATCTGTTGCCAGTGATAAAATTCAGGCTTTCAAGTGAAAATTCAAGCTTTTGGAAAACCTGTATCTACCATAAGGAGTTTGACAGCATCCCGGTATTTAAGACTTTTTTTCTGATGAAATCAATGGTGATGCTAAAACCTTTTCTCTCTTTCTTTCTTCTTTCTTTCTTTCTTTCTTTCTTTCTTTCTTTCTTTCTTTCTCTTTCTCTCTCTCATTCTCTCTCTTTTCTCTGTTTCTTTCTTTCTTGGTATATTGTATATTGATAGATTGTGGCTCATAAGAAATATCTGTGTATTATATATTTGGCCTTTTCCCTGATCTTGACACAGAGATCCTAAAATTTTGTAATTTCCCAAATGATAAAGATAATATTTAACCTTTGTTCCTGGTTCCTGACACAAAGCTCCTAAATCTTTTGGAATTTCCTGGGTGAGAGGAGTATCTTTTCTTCTAATGAGGCAACTCTAGCTAGCTTCAGATGGGGACTAGTCACCTCAAAGACCAGGGGACTTTCAGCCCCACCTCCCCCAGCCTCTGGGGAGAGGTGCAGGGCTGGAGAATGACTTAATAATCCAGCCTGCGTATGTGATGAAACCTCCATAAAAACACTTAAATCACGGGGCTTGTAGAGCTTCCAAGGGGATAAGCTCATTGAGGTGCTGGAAGGGTGGCCATGTGGAGATGGTATGGAAGCTCAGCCTTGACCTGGGAATCTCTTCCATTTGGCTGTTCCTGAGTTGTAGCCTTCATAATAAATCACTAATAAATGAACTGTTGCCCTGAGTTTTGTGAACTGTTATAGTATAATCAAAACTGGTGGGGGGAGGTCATGGCAACCTCTGATTTGTAGCCAAGTCAGAAAAAGATGCAGGTAGCTTGGAGAACCAATATTGTTGACTGGCATCCAAAGTGGGAATGTCCTGGGGCGCCTGGGTGGTTCAGTCGGTTAAGTGTCAGACTTTAGCTCAGGTCACCATCTCACAGTTGGTGAGATCCAGCCCCGCATTGGGCTCTGGGCTGACAGGTCAGAGCCTGGAGCCTGCTTCAGATCCTGTGTCTCCCTCTGTCTGCCCCTCCCCCACTCACAGTCTCTCTCCCTCTCTTTCTCTCAAAAATAAACATAAATAAATAAATAAATAAATAGGAAATGTCCTTGTAGGACTGAGCCCTTAATCCTGTGGAGTTTGCCCCTATTTCAAGGAGTGTCAGAATAAAGATGAATTGTAGAATATTCAGTTAGTGTCTGGAGAATCAGAGAATTGGTTTTTGGTGTTGGAGAACACAGAGGCTGATGAATTTTAATGTCACAGAGTTTGAAAAGGTCATTGATAGGGTCTTAAATTCCACATTGTATTAAACTTTAAGAAACTACCACTTGCTGAGTTTGGGTTTAGTATTAAAGAAAAGCACGCAAAATTATCTGAAAAGAATATGAAAATACTTCTTCCTTTTCTACTTATCCGCATGAGGAAGGATTTTCTTTATATTCTCTGACCAAAATGACATTGCAGCAGATTGAATGTAGGAAGAAGGACGGTGTATAAGAATCCAGCTATTTTCTAATTGAGACATTAAAGAGATATGCAAAAAAGATAAATGCTAAATTTTATTTTGGGAAATATAGCTGTTTTTCATTAAAATGTGTTATTTATGCTACCCTATAATGGGAATGTTATTATTTTCAAATGAATTAATAAATAAATGTTTTAAACTTATCAGTTTTTATTACTAATACTGTAAATTTGGATAGCTATAATCCAGATTAACAAAAGCTCTTTGGGTTCCTTGATCACTTTTGAGAGTGTAAATGAATCCTCAGATTAAAATGTTTGAGAACTGCTATTCTTTTTCTTTTTTTTTAGTATTTATTTTTGAGACAGAGAGAGAGACAATGTGAGTGGGAGAGGGACAGAGAGAGGAGGAGACAGAATCTGAACCAGGCTCCAAGCTGTCAGCACAAAGCCTGATGCGGGGCTTGAATCCACAAACCGTGAGATCATGACCTGAGCCGAAGTCAGACACTTAACCAACTGAGCCCCCCAGGTACCCCAAGAACTGCTGTTCTAAAAGAAGCTCAAAGCCTTAATAGTAAAAGAAAAATAAACCAGATTCTTTTACCTTCCCCAGCTGCCAAGTGTATATCTTTAAAGTCAAGCCTGGAGGTGATACTAGGGAATAACACAAGTTAATCACTGACCCAAAGTATTGCCACCTGTTTGAACCAAACCAGTGGAATAAGCAAATAGATGCATCTAGAGAAACCTAGATGCCTCTTATAGGGTTATAGGTTATATGAAAAACCATTCTCCTATGAGAGTAAACATTTGCCAGTTCCTCTGAGCATTCTGTGGTAATGTTTATAAATTTATAAGATTTTATCAATTTCTCCCAGTACTTCATTTTGGGTTAAGCACAGAATGGACTTGCAGTCCTTTAGTGTCAGACACTAGAAACTGAAATTGTTTTCTTTCTTTGGACTTCTCCAGCTCCTCACTAAACCACAGAGAGGCTCCTGCTTTTTCCATGTCAGGGCCCTGTCCAGAGACAGTCCCCACAATACTGGTTAGCTCCTTCTTGAGCTCTTATCTCAGTGTTCAGAGTTGACATCAGCCACTCATAGACTTCCTTGGGTTTTCTTTAAAAGAATGTGTTTGGAAATTATTTCTCAGCCATCCTGGAATTTAAAGTCAATGGAAAATTGCACATAGAGAGCACACAACCAAGTTCCTTTTCCCGAGCCTACTGAAAAATTGCACTTGGCTCCCTTGCTGGGTATATGAGGAGATACTTAAACAGAGTTGAAATGAGATGTTTCCCAGGTGAAGGCGTTAGGAGAGCTGTAGTGGCCAGAACCAGGCATCTCTAAGTAGTTCTAGAACTGTGAAATTGTTCAGTTACTAAGAGGGCTCTTCTCAGTAGACATGTTGTAGAGGTAGGTATTATACAGACCCACCAAGTTGATGGCCCTTTCC